TATGTTATCATTCGAAGTTTTATTTTATCCAAGTTTTAAGTCCTTTATTTCAAAATAAACCTTAAAACTACTTAAAACATCATATTTATTGTCACTTGACCAAAGAATTATGAAAATTATCTACTTTTGCACTCTATTTCTTCATTAATACAGTGGTAGTTGCATAGATGTACGTCTAGACTATAAGATGCTTATATAACCTTTTGACTCGTAAATTTCAAAGTTCTCTGAATGGATGCAGTTTAAACAAGTAATACATTTTTTCAACCCCTGACAGCTGCCATACACACCTTGAACAAGTTTGTTTGAGCTTTATAGCCTACATCTAGATGTTACATACACATGTGTATAGTCAGTAGAAAGAGCTCATTTGACACTATAATCTAGCAAAGGTTATTTTGAAATTCGCATGTAGTTGTTGTCACAGAGTACATGTAACTGACTTTAGTATTGTTTGCTGCTTGATCAACTATAGCACTTATGGTTGTTTCTCATCTAAATATGTTATAGTTAGAGATACAGTTGAATTGTATTTAGGTCTTACTTTTATAATTTAGTTAATTATGTATTACTTAAGTTTTTAAATGCATAATTGAAAGGTTTAAAAGTCTTTTAAATATACATCATATTTTACTGAAGGGTTGCGCATGTCTGCCAGAGACACTGTAATATGCCTCAAAAGCACTGTTGACTTATGTCGAGGTGAATAATAAGTGGTAAAGGAAACTACAACACTAAAAATTAACTGTTCATGAAAAGGAAAAGACCTGAAATTATGAATTTAACAAAAGGAAAATCTTTAAAGGAATTTCTACAAGGAATTAAAAGATGTGTATTTTTTTTTCTATTCCCTAATTTTGAATATTTCCTTGCATTGTACGTCGATAATAATAGGTAGAGTTAGTGATATGGTAAGGAAAATGAAAATAAACATATACCTTAAAAAAACTTGATTTTCTTTTAGGAGGTTCTTGAGATTATGCAAATGAAATATGAAGAACAAAATCTTATCAGTTTTAGAGAGGATACTTTAAGAAATCTCAGAGTCACCCTATGTATTGTGAAATTTGCTACTCGTTTTTCTGCAAATTACATGACCCTGATGAGAAAGGGTTAATACTATCTAATCATTTCTTAACATTAGTCACCCCTCTTCTTATGTTATCAGATTAACCTATTTAAATCTGAATGTGGAAACCTGTTTTCAATAAGCTTCAAGTGACCAGTGTGGATAATTTTCTTCAATAATTTCTTATGAAAACATTTGGTTGCCAAAGGGTTAAGTGACATTATTTGTACCATAAGTATAGTAGCCATAGTAAAATAGAAGTTTTTACATCTTTGTCATTGAAATAGCATTAATTATAAATCCATAGATTTTATGACTGAATCAAAAAAAAAAAACATTTTGACATAATTTTTCCTTTCAGTGAATCTTAGAAAATTGATCACTTTAAGAAAGAATATTTAACAGCCCTTTCCACTGCCAAATATTCATATGTGCAGATCGTAGAATTTAGAATTTCAAATATGTGGATTTATCTTGTATTTGATGGTACTGTAAAACAAAAGAACCTAGATAAAATTTCAGTGACATAACTCGACCTATGAAATGCTGAACAGTGTTAAATGTAGTTCCAATACATGCTATTGAACTGCAACTGTATATAGGCTGTGGTTGTCAAGTGACATGCTAACTAGCACATCTTGGGTATTATCTGGGACTTTTGGTAAATACTGAAGAGCTAAAAACGTAATCTTTCCTTTGAGCAGAAATAACTATTTACTATATATATATTGGAATTCTTAGTTTATTTCTTTAGAGAATATTTTGAATTAATATAGTTTCTTTTTGTTTAATCAGCTGCTAGTGCCACTACTTCAGAGAGACTTTGGGTGGAACTCTGTATTTTATCTCTTCATGGTCATGGTAGGTATGAGCAGTGTTACATTCTTTCATATATACCTTTTACTTACACTAAAAACGAGACTTGCAGGTTATTTTGTACTTCTTGTCGAGATAGTTCACTATATGTAGTTATATGTTCCACAGTAATTGGTAGTATATGGCATATCCTTTCTTCATTCATGGACAGCAAAGGTTTGTAAGAATATAGCATTTCAAATTTATCTTTCATTTACAGAAAAGTTACTGCAGAGTTTGGGCCTTTTGTTCATTTCTGTAACTCATCAGATATTTACTTCCTGTAAAGAAGTTCACTAGAGAAAATTATACTGTTTTAATTAAAGTAATTACATGTGTTTGTATAGGTAGGAAATTAGAATTGACATATAACAACTTTTGTAACCTAATAACTCATGTTCCTAATAAGGTTTAAAAAGTTTATGAAGATAACACAAAAATTTTAGCCTCTTAACCCTTTCGAGACAAGAAACGGGTGAAAAGCAATCTCATCTCGTTTGTTGACTCGCATTGAAGACTTTATTGAACTACTATTTCATGAATTTATGTCAATAAGGTTGTTATCAAACTGTAGATTATAATTCAAATTTTAGTATTATTTATTACTCGATTTCTTAATTTAAAAGCAAATATTAATAAAACACAGATAAACATCAATTTTTGTGTGTCACGTGGTATGTTGAATGCAGCACTTGATTCAAATTAGGTGTTTGTGAAGTCAAAATACTATAAGTCTACTATAAAAAGTCTATAATTCTAACGATTTAGAAACTCAAATTACCAATATTGACAAGCTAGAATATAAAATA